ATGAGAAACATTTTAAAAGTGCGAGAAACAAAAAATTGGGAGAAATAACATAAAACTAAAGTTACTTAAGCTTCTGTTATTTTAACTAACTATTTCTCATCTCAGAGGTGGAGAAGTCAGACCTGGAGCTGGGGTGAAGTTCTGTGAGAATTCTTGTCTGGTGTACATGTAGCCTTGGGTTACACAACAGCATTTTAGAAGCCAGGCAAGGTGGCATGCCAAAGAAATTCCAGCATGCAGGATGTGGAGGCAGGAGGAGGGGGCATTGAAAGGTCAAGGTCATCTTCAGCTCTCTAAAGATGTCAAAGTCAACCCAGGGTGCAGGAGACTATTCCCCAACCCACCACCTACAGAAAAAAAAAGCACCACTGGAAAAGTAAAATTCAGGATTGTTTTCCATGTTCATGTGGAATGAGGAAAGTTTAGCATTTATGACTAAATCCAAACCCAGACCATACCAAAACAAAATCCAACAAGTTTCAAAAAGTTACCAGGAGAAGTTTTATGTGGAGGCTAATTAATTAAAGGGGCTCAATGTCCAACAAAAGATGATGCTGTTTGGAGCACAGGATCTAAGCCGCACCCCTGCTTGTATTTCACAGTAAAGATTTGGGAGTTAGAAAAGGAAAAAAAGAGACATGAAGAACCTCCAGCTGAAGACAGATGGAACCATCACATGTTAGGATGGTAAGACAGATGTCACTCAGGGCTTTCTAGTTTTGTCTTGACTTGAGTTCTAACTTCTGCAATAGACTTCAAAGCTTTCCATATAGTTTTGGTCAATGTCAAGATCTTTCTCCATGCTATAGAGAGCTTCCAGGTAGTGTCCGATTTCTTTGGGACACCAGGATTTATAGCTCAGCTTCTTTATGCTTCTTAGCAAATCTACACATTCAACAATTTTTAATTTCAGTGGCTGCTTTGGGTGGTCACAGGGGAGAGCCTAATCTCCAGTTTAGTGCTCCTTTGCCCTTTCCCTCATCCTTTCTCATTTTCATGTCTTCCATGTTTGGGGGAACTGTGATACTTTCCTTTTTTTTTTTTTTTGAAAATTGCCAAATTCTTTTTTTTTTAAATTTATTTATTTATTAAGGATTTCTGCCTCCTCCCCGCAACCGCTTCCCATTTCCTTCCCCCTCCCCCGATCAAGTCCCCCTCCCTCATCTGCACGAAGAGCAATCAGGGTTCCCTGACCTGTGGGAAGCCCAAGGACCGCCCACCTCTATCCAGGTCTCCTAAGGTGAGCATCCAAACTGCCTAGGCTCCCCCAAAGCCAGTACGTGCAGTAGGATCAAAAACCCACTGGCATTGTTCTTGAGTTCTCATTAGTCCTCATTGTTCGCTATGTTCAGCTAGTCCGGATTTATCCCATGCTTTTCCAGACCCAGGCCAGCTGGCCTTGGTGAGTTCCCAAGAGAACATCCCCATTGTCTCAGTGTGTAGGTGCACCCCTCGCGGTCCTGAGTTCCTTGCTCGTGCTCCGTCTCCTTCTGCTCCTGATTTGGACCTTGAGATTTCTGTCCGCAAAACAATTTTGACCAAGACAATCCATTCTCTAAGATCACACACACACACACACACACACACACACACACACACACACACACACTATTTTAGGAACCCGAAGAGCAGCTGGACTCCATTGGATCCCCAATTTTCTTCCCACTCATTATCCATCGAATGAGGACCGATCCTTCAGGGGCTGTGAGGGATTCTGTGGCCCCGAGTTCCTTGCTTGTTCCCCTTCTCAAGGTCGGCAGCTGTGCAAGAGATAGAAGGTGGTGGCTATGGGACATTCCAGAGCTGATCAGCCAGATGCATTGCCCAGAGAACAAAGTCACACATCGGTCAAGGCACCTGAGGTGCTACTTCATGGCTGCCATGATCTTGAGGTATTTTGGTGCCCTGCAAACAGCCTTGGCTTGGGCTGCCTCTCTAATGGCTGAAGAATCATTTCACTAGGCAATGACAGAGCACAGTTAGACTTAGGATTCAGTAGTGGACACCAAAAGCATAAAATACTCAGAGAGCTCACTGAATGTTGCAGCAGGCAGAGCCCAAAGTACCTGGAAAGGTTAGCAGTGAGAAAATAGATCAGAGATAAAGTACTTGCCTAGGATGTGGGTTGACTATTAAATACTGCAAAGGAAAATAAAAGCAAACAAATATCAAATCATTTGCATTAAAAAAGAAGGAATAAAATAGATAGACGATAGGTAGATAGATAGATAGATAGATAGATAGATAGATAGATAGATAGACAGATAACAGTCAAGTTACATGTCATGTTGTTAAAGGCATAATCTGGACAAAAATTTCCATAGCTGCACCAATGTTACAGTATCAATATGGACTTCGTCTTTCTTGAGTCTCTCGGAATTCTAATCTCTTTTACCTTTTCTGTGGTTTTATCTTTGCCACCAATTTCAACTTGGCACATAACTTTGCCAAAAATCTGCATCCAAGGAAAGACATTACCCTGGTCTATCCTGACGCTGTCACCAAATACCATAGACCAGGTAGCTTTCAAAGAAAACAAATCTGCTTTTCGTTGATTTGGGGGTTGACGAGTTTAAGGCAAAGCCCAGGACTACCTAATGTCTTGCGAGTACTATACGTCAGTTCCCATGGGAGGACTGTACCCCCAATTCCCAGAATGCCATATTCCTGTGTCCTCACAAAGAGAAGGGCCAGGCATCTGTCTGTTCCTCTTCTATGATGGCATTAATACTGCTAATGAGGGCTCTGGTCCCATGATTTAATCATGTCTCAGAGGTCCTAACTTTATGTACCATCATCACTTTCCGGTTGATAATGCCAGCATATGCAAATCTTAGGGTGACATAAACACTCGGAACATGGCACTTAGTCAGAGGAACCCAAGAGTCAGACCATGATGAGAACAAAGTGCTTCTTTCTTTTAAGCAAAGAAAACAATGTGCTTGTTTCTACCGAAGTATAAACAGCATACTCATTAACAATAATTGTGGGTGTTTTATTTTTTTCAAATTCAAACAAATTTTAGGGCATGATCTTTACTGGAACGTTTTTGCTCTTTGTATTAGAAAGATAATAATAGCTCAAAATTTAAAAAAAAAGAGTGAAAAAGGTTGACCATATAATACCTCTGCTTATTAATATGGATCTTTACTTGCTGTAAATTATTTGACATGTATGATAACATTTATTAAGCTCCGAGCTCTTCAACGATGTGAAAAATATCCTGAAATTTGTGACTCACAGTGCCTCATTTTCCCAGCCCTGCCTTGGACTACTTCTCCTGGCTTTTCATTTGCTTTCCTCTTTTTTTTTTAATTTTTATCATTTATCTTATTTTTTGAGGATCGAAGGATTTATTTTGGCTTGCACTCTGAGGTTGCTGTCTATCATGATGAAGTTCTGGTAGCAGGGAAGGAAGCAGTTTGTGCTGTGGCCTCCACCTTTGGGAAACGAAAAGAAGACCGCTGGTGCTCAGTTGGCTGAATCCACGCGGTATGGATGGAGCGTGCGTGCATTGTTAAGATTGGTGGCTGCTGTGTCCAATCTAGCCCTGTAAACCCAGCAAACTACTTACGGCTGGTGAGGTCATGGATCTCAGAGGATAACTCACTACTGTCATCTTCCTAAACCGGTCCAGTGCCCAAGGGCATCCATCCTACACACACAGTTCTCGTACCTACAGATAAGTGCAGCTCTCGTCCCTCATCAAAGCAACGGCTTTTTTTTTTTTTTCTGCAGATGTTGACTATTACAGAAATTTACAACTCGTGAAAACGCAGAGAACAGCTGACAGAGGTGTGCTCAGCCCCAATGTAGGAGCTCAACATAACTTCTACAGCCCAGGCTCAGGGACCCTAAGGAAGAGGGAGCAGGAAGAGGGAGCAGGAAGAGGGAGCAGGAAGAGGGAGCAGGAAGAGGGTAAGGACCAGTGCTCCAGGTCATTGATGCCTAGTCGCTTTTCTGCTTCTAACGAGGCTGTTTTCTAAAGTTCCACCCCTAACTACCCCCATCCTCCTTTCCCCCCTTTATTTCCCCTACTTTCAAGTTAAAGATTATCAAGTTTATATTGATGAACTCATTCTTTACTTTTTTCTAGGCAACAGTTTGTATTTTTAGCAACCTTTTGTAGATTTTAATACAAATGCACAGTTACCAAAGTTACCAAATGCTTTAAACTGTCACTCATATTCGAAACCGACTTTTCTTACTTTATTTCTGCTACACCCAGTCTGCTATTATCCTATTAACTTAAAAAGAATTCTATTCGGGATGTTTTGACCGTAGAAATGTGTTGTACCATTTACCTCTAGCTAACATAAAAGATAGCAAAGTATTTCTTACCAGCAATTATTGGAAATTTCATTGGCTTCTTATTTTTGTGATCATAGGGGAGCTTTGGTCACTTTACATAATATCATGAATGCAAAAGCCATCTCTAATAGTAGGAAATAGGATCAAATATAATAAATTGTAATCATTAAGCATTTTGAAAATACTTATATTGCCACCCAATGAAGCAGTGGTATTGCAAATGAAACAAACTCAAAGGTCAATAATTGCTTTTCTTAAACTATTTTTATGGATAATGTATATGGCAATTGACAAAGTTGCTTTCTCCTATTCATGGATGTGCTAAATTATTTATTTTTGACCTTTTAAAATCTCATGTTTTATTTTATAGATTACAAAGCACAACCTAGCCAAGAAGCGGTGGCACACGCCTTTAAACCTAGCATCTGGAAGTCAGAGGCAGACAGATCTCTGAGTTCAAGGCCATCCAGGTCCACATCAATGAGTTCTAGGACAGCCAGGGCTACACAGAGAAACCCCATCTCAAACAAACAGAAAATAATTATAAAACATGACATAAAGACACACCATTTCTCCTTGATTGCATATATTACATATTAAGTTGCTTAGAGGAAAAAGTAAATATTGAGTAAGTAGCAAATTTAATGGGTTCTCCCCCAAACAGAAGGTTGCCATGGGAGTCATCTTACAAGCCAATCTTTGACTTCTCAGTGATTTTTTTTTTTTTTACGGGCCATGCTAATCTACTCTGAATCATTCCAATTTTAGTATATATACTACCAAAGCGAACACTCTCACTGATTTTTTTTTTTACAACTGAAGAAAATCAGTCCATTAAAAACTCCAGAGTGAGTTGCGATTCAATTGGAAAATTATCAAGACTGTGGACTTTAATCTATCTGTGATCTTAATACCAGTTAAATAGGAAATTTTGTAAAATCATTGGTCACGCTACTATCCTTGGATACTAATCAGGACTAATTTAAATAATGGTTCCACTATCTAACAGTTGTACGAATTTGAACAAGCAGCTTAACCTCACTGTATTTTGGATTTACCATATATAGAAACTTTGAATAATGAAATTATAAAGAGCATTGCAGTGGGTAATTAATAATATATAAAACTAAAGAATCTTTCACTCCTTGCAGCATAAAATAACAGCTAATTAAATGTCATCTCCTTATAATTCATTAACAGAATGCCATTACCCAAGGATTAAAGGATTCTGAAGATCCTAAAGCGAGTTTATGACATATTACATTAAAACCAGAAGGGAGGAACTCAGTGTTCCGACACTGAGATGGAGAAAAGAAGTGTAAATTATCCTCTGTTGATCAACACATGTCACAAACGTGTTGAAATACCTCACTTGGGCTTCTAAACATGCGTCACTATTGTGTCAATCCAAAATAAAACAACATTCTCTAATTGTATGCCTATTACAGCGTGGTATAATTTTTCTATTTATGAGAGCGAAGAGTAGAGAATTGTTGTCATTCAGAACTAAATGTTTCTGCATAGACTTCTTTACCAATTCCAGGAATTTTTGATTCTTTAATTAATGTATTCCTGGCATTCAATAGGAGGTTTTAGGCTTTTAGTCTACTTATATTTTTCATGTATGAAGGAAATATAAATTATGATAATTGAAATTGTAAGCAACATATCCATGCACCAATACTTAAAAATAATATCAATTTTATTTAATAGAGCATAAAATCATTGCGTTAGTCAGAATTCTCTATAGGAACAGAATTAAAGAAATCAATATATGTTCTTCATATATATTTTTTATATATGTGTATACATACATACACACACATATGAAAACAGAGGGAAGGTTTATTAGAAAGGCTTATAGGCTGTGTCCTGGCTAGCCTCATAATCTCATAATGGCTGTGTGCCAATGGAAGGTGCAAGAATGCGGTAGTTGATTAGTCCACGATATTGGCTGTCTCATCTCGGCTGGTCTTCAGAATACATGAAAATCCCCAAGAAGTAGATTCTAAAGGCAGTGAAGGTGTGGAGTCTTCAGGGAGAGTGACAGCAAGCAAAGAGAGAGAGCACACTCCCTTCTCCCATGTTCTACAAACTGAGAGCAGAAGGTGCAGCCTAGATGAAAGGTGAGTCTTCCCACCTCAGAGATCTGGATTCGAAGTGGGTCTTCTCACGTCCAATGATTTAATTAAGGAAAAATCCCTCACAGGTGGGCCCGCTCACTTCCCCGGGTTTTATTTAACTCCAGCCGTAGGCCAGGTGAGAACTAAGAACAGCATCACAATTTCACTTCTCGTCAGCTTAGCACACAATCCCATCTCCTCACGCCACGATTAATTTCCACGTGGAAACAGTAACCAGGCCATAATTAACCCTAACATGATTTAACCATCCCATTATATCAAATTTCTCTCCTGCGAAGAAAACAAGGGAGAGGCAGTAAAAATTCTGATAGACATTTATTTACCGTCTTAAATGTCATTCAATAATTAAAAAAGAAGGAAATGCATCAGATGCCTATACATTATAGCCCAAAGCACTTCCTTTAAAAAAGATCATGAAATTCAGAGTTCCTAGCTAGAGCCTTTAGATGGCATAAAGCATCTCTCAGATTGTGCTAGGATAAAATAGTGACGTCCCCATAAACCTAAGCCATTGCTTTGTTCATGGACTCTGGAGGCAGTGCTGGCTGCCCCGCCAGGATGGTGCAAAGCAGTGGTGTTCCCACAATCTGAGTCAGCGAGTTGTAGACAATTCTGAGAATTTTATATCGTTTCCCACTGACTGTTTTAATAATAATAGAATTAAGTGGGTTTTTGGGGGGGCTGGGGGAAGTTGACTTCTTTTTCTCTTCTTGAAGTATGAAATCTGAGCAGATGGCATCTCAGACTCCATTTAGTTTGCTGCATACAGTTATTGTTTGTCTTTAGGAACAAAAGGCAACTGCATGCATTCGCCTTGGGTTTGTACAGTGCCAGCATTGTCCATCACAGCTTAGTGACTGTGTGTCCCCTGCAGCTGCAGACTTGTGGTCGCAGCCTTTGTTCGGGTCGTTGTTTTTGAAGCGATGAATGAATCTCTTTTATATTTATTTATTTTTTTTAAATGTTGGGCCATCCCTTTTTTTTTTTTAATTCACCTAAGTTCTTTCTACAAAAATCCTCCATTGGCTAAAATCAGGCCTAGTTAAATAAAGTATTACGGAATCAAGGTTGACTTGATTCTGTTATCACCGATTTCCATAAGAAAGAAGAATGAAAAGCCACGTTGTTAAAGTTATGCTCATATTTACTGGAAGTTATTTATAAACTTGTCATGCTATTGACTAGTGGGTTGTAAAAGATTTAGTTATTTCCCTGCTTTCTGGGTAAATCATCACAATCAAGCATCCAAATGCCTCCTGCATTGTGATATAACTCGGATTCTCTCGAGTTCTAATTGCCAACAGCACATTTTATGTCTTTACACCAAGAAAGTGTCTCTCAATCTATCTTAAGATATCTGGGGCACTAATTAGATATAAAAAATGTTCGGTGCTATCTGGCACAGCAGTTTTATGAGCTAAGATCATATATTTACTTAGAAGGCAATAAAAATGATTGCACATGAAATTATAGAACCCAGTGGCAATCTAGCGCTAAGGTGCTGGGAGGGTTGGGGGGCTCCATTGTTTCCAGATGCTGCAGTACATTTCATGCACGTTAGGTGATGCATTTCCTGTTGTATATACGCATGGCAAAGACAATGCCAGAATGGGTCCCCAGAATACCAGAACAGTCTGCTTCTGACATGTCGTAACCTAGGTACAGTTCTCTTGGCTTCTTTCTTTACAGTGTTAACACACTGAGTTTGACATCCTAGCTGTGTTGGTTACATAAACTGTAATCCGAGAATTACAAGTCAGTAGACTAAAGCCATGGATACATGTCAGGTTTTTAGCACCCTTCAGTTTTGGTACTCTTGAGACAATAAATTTTGTTTTGTGAATAAAGACACTAGAGTCTCCATCTTCCACAAGCAAGAGCTCATATGTCCATCCTTCTCAACACGAGAATGAGATCTACAGGGTCTGAATGAACTACGGTGCTTGAAAATGCCCTTGTCTTATGGCATTGTTATGCATTTGCCTCGCTAACAGAACAGTCTTTGCTTTGCAGTTCATCCTCAATACTTAGGCAAATCCTTATTTCCCTTATATGGTTCAGTCAAGAAATCAGGCCTCTTGTGAGACTGAGTGACTATGGAAGCTGTTTCTGATGTTGTCTTTGGCTAAAGTATTTTTTGGCAAAAAATGTTTTTATTTATAATTCACACCTCTAGGAAAGTAAGTTGTCTCATTACAGTGGTAAAAATATCATGACTAGCTGAGAATCACAAGACATAATTTACATATGTTTCCTTTCTGTTTACCCTTCCATGTCATTCTGCCTTACAGGTTCCTTTTGTTGCTTTGTTCATTGTATATTCATAGTAAAGGACTCTGCAATAACTCCTCATAAGCTTTTCTGTTTCTTCGTTGGTGCCCACTTTAAAATTCCTAGTGTTTTCTATTTGTAATATAACATGGAAGCTACTTAATACTTTTTGCTGAACTAATGTCTTGGTTATTATCTAAATAAATTTAAAAATCAGTATTTTAGTTCCAACACAATTATAACAACCTTTAGAAAACCTACGCAGAAAGTGGAAAATATCATCTATATTCAGATGATAGTGTTATAAAATCTGAACACACATGTTTATAAAACCATCAAATGTCCAATTCTACTTTAAATTCTAAAGCAATTTAGAGAGAGAGAGAGAGAGAGAGAGAGAGAGAGAGAGAATCGATATAATCTGTGTTTTAGTCGTTGGATGAATGAAAGTTTGCAAACATGCAAAATCCTAAAAATCTCAAGAAGCATAACTTCTAAGAAAAGATAAGTGTTTTTAGTCTATAAGACAGAAACACCTATAGCTCAGTAGACCTGAGAAATATTTCTCCATCTTATTCCACACATGTGAAATGAATAAGGTCTCATTTGGTCATGGTGTAGATAAATAGAATCATCAAAACTAGAATAAAGTTTGTTCCAGACTTACCCTAAACATGCACTTCCTGAAATAACCAAAAAGAAAGTAACTACCCACTAGAAAGATGTAAAATGTCCTAATCCTGGAGCTCAAGAAAACAAATAAAGAAAATGACACGGGGAAAAAGAGAGAGAGAGAGAGAGAGAGAGAGAGAGAGAGAGAGAGGGAGGGAGGGAGGAAGGAAGGAAGATTAGATAGCATAAAACAAGGCCTACACTACAGGTAAGCTAGCAAAGTCAACATGGGCCATAAAATGGTCTCCACTCTCATTTCAAATAAACCAACAGGAGACCATGCACAATCCATGATTCTTCTGCAGGTCAAATTGTAATTCCGAGAAGGAAAAGTTCAATTTAAATGAGACAAGTTCTCCTGGTGACAACTGGAAGTCACCTGTGAAGAAAGCAGCCAAGGGTGCTTGAAATCCAGGTGGGGAAATACAGAATAGAGCTGACAATTATCCACCAAGTAGCTGGAGTGTTTTGTTGATTTTCTCACTTTTAAGTTGGCAGGAAACTTATGAAATTTCTTTCTTTCTGTATTCCTATCACCTGCGGAAGGAAGAATATCAGATTATCAAAATCACTTCCAAATTCTGCTATTCCTGAACTCATACTGTACAATGTTTTTTTTTTTCCTTTTTAAATCAAGGAAACAAATGAAAAATATCCTTTTCATATGCAAATCTGGATTTGAAGCTGTCAGTTTTGTAGTCTCTT